GTCTATAGTGAATCTAAAAAAAAACAATGAAAGATAAACAAAAAATATTTAAAAATAATAATCATTATTTTTATTTATTTTATTGTTTTAAGATATTTGTAACAGATCTACCAGGAAAAGATTTAGAAAGTTGATTTCCTTAGTTGAATCAAGCCTGCACCCAAAAATGTTTTCGGTATAATTTTGTTAGTACATTTTTAAAACCTAAAACAGAAAATCCCAAACTCATGATTAAAGTCTGTAAGACTGAAGCACAGTGCTGAAAGCTGTACGGAGGGAAATTAAACGTGGCAAACAGGGTTGTGTGTTGTCAGATTTTTATTTTAAACTAAACACCAGTATCGAGATCCAAACATCGACTTTTTAGTTTAACTTTGTTATTTATCCTTAAAAGTAGGAATYACGTTGCACATAGTTTTATATCTAAGTTTCAGCGTTTTCATCCATAAGCAGTGTTTGCAAAAAGTTACAAAAATAAACAAAATCTATTTTTTAAGTTATTTTTTCTAAAATAATTTACTTTTGCAGTTTTATTTTCCATTCTTCTGATGGTGTTACAGAGAAATACTGCCTACAGGACACATTCACTGATTTGTTTTGTTCCTTATAAATTKCCTTCTGTATAATGTTTAGTCTATAAAAAAACTGTAAAAAACTTTATCTCCTGTTCAAAGTMGATCTCATCTGACTAATGTATTTTATTTTTTTAAAACTCAAACATGTTTTCTGAAATCTTATTTTACAGTATTGGTCTGTAGTGTTGTGTTGGTTTTAGAGCGTACTGTATGTGACGTCTTCATTTAGAGTTTCCTGCCTGGGCTCTGATGAATGTTGTCATTCAGGTTTTTAACCTCAGAGGAGTGAGCATAAGAAAAAGGTGTTTTTGGTAAAAGACGAGTTCTTTAGCTCTCTATGACACATGAAGTAAGGATAAGGTTGTGATTGGAGAGTTGTCGGTGTGGCAGCACATCACTAACCAGCCTCTTCTTCCTCTGTATCCTCTCCTGTAGATCGATCCAAAGGTGGCGTTCCCTCGACGAGCTCAGCCCAAGGTGAGGTTGTTGGGCTCTCTTATCTGCTGTGGAATCYTGATGAACATGTTTTTGTGRCGTTTAGGCGTCTGCTAACAGGAAAACCTCCACTTTAGTTTTGAACGCCGTTCTGTATTTGCAGTGCGCTCTGTTCTGATCGTGGCCACTTTGTCCTTTTCAGTAAACCTCGACAGAAAGAACGGCTGAATGAAGACTTTCTGTGACAAATATAAAAGACACCAAATATTTTTAATTTAAATGACACTCTTTAACTTTTTAGAGTTCAGTAATTTAATGGATGTCAAGTAAATATTAAACATATATTGACTTCTTTTATATTTTCACCCAAAGTTTTGCGGCTCAACTGTTTTTTTTTTTTTTTACTTTTTTTTAAATATCATATGATAACTAATATGATTTTTTTTTGTTCTGGTCAAATCTGATATTAAAACTAAACTTTCTAAAAGTTGTTTTAACAAATCAGTGGCTGAGTAATAAAAAGGTTGACATGCAACACAAATGAACACCCTCGTGTAATTAATCTGATTTTACTCATTTATTTGTTAAACTGTTTACTTTTTTGTCTGTCAAATTAGTAAAAACGTTGCTGATTGAACAGAAATATATATATTTTTTTAATCTGTTGTCTGAAAAGATGTTCATCTTCATTGTGTTTCTTCACTGGGTGAATTTTTTATGTGACGATCCTGTCCTTCATTTGTTTAATAAGTCAGGACACATTCTGAGCTTTACGYTGGCTCACACTCAGCTAGTCCCAGTACTGAACGCAGTTTTCTTTAATTGTCGGCCGTTCATCTCTTCCAGCTCGTGACTCGAACCAAGAAGATCTTTGTGGGCGGCCTGTCGGTGAACACGACCATCGAAGACGTGAAGCAATACTTCGACCAGTTTGGGAAGGTGAGTGATGAAGACGAAGGGTTTTAAAAGTTCAGGTTGTCGAATAAAAATCGAATGTTTTATACGTTTTGTTGCGTCGGTGCAGAAACCCGACAGTCCAACATCCCAGCAGCTCCGCCGGCTCTGATTCTGTCCCTGAGAAAAACTTCACTTCAGGCCGAGTGGCGGCCCGGGGACGAAGGAGTTACTGCAAGGAAGAGGAGGGCGCGAAAAGGAGAGAGAGGGAGAGAGAGAGAGGGAGAAAGGGCTGAAGGAGGGAAAAAAATGGAGCTGAGAGGCTCCGGGAACGACGGGTGAACTGGGGAGGGTGTAGAAAAGTTTTGTACGGAGTGTGTGGTGATGGTGAAGAAAGAGAGGGGGGGAGATTATCAGAATCTGAATTAATCTGATGTAACAGCTGCTACTACCCACAGCCCCCTTCTGGCCCGTTACCGTGGTGACCTGGCTTGCCCATTGTCCCCAAGTAATTCTGGGGGGGGGGTTTCTGAAGGAGGAGGGATGAGGTGGTGTTAGAATCACTGCACTATGTGAGTGTGGGTTCGTTACAATAAAACACAAGTTAAATAACTCTTAAAATGTAGGAAACCTGTTGAACAGTAAAGTTTTTCTTTTTTTTTAAATGATCATTTTAGTTTAACTTTTTCTAAGTTTCCTCTTTATTGTTCTAAAAGTGTGAAAGGCAGAGAATAGATGACAAAAGCTCCGGCTGGGGAGGGAGGGCCTTGCTTTGGGAGGCATAGGAGAGGGAACTGGGGCAAAGATGGGGGCGGGTGGTGGGGTGGGGAGGGAGGGGGGCTCCAAACAAAGCTTGGCAAATATTTAGTGAGTTTGTCCAGAAGTTAACTACAGAACGTTCCTGCCCCCTGAACGTTAACAAGTGATCTGTGCCGTTTTTGTTGGGGTCACACTCTCAGAAAGTCTCAAAGTTTTCTGCACCTCAGAACCTTCCAACGGTTAAGCCCCCCCCCACGCCCCTCAACCGTGGCAGCTTTTCTTTGGGGCGCTCGAAGCTCTCGGCCTCGAGTTTCTCCGGGGCTCCCTCTTCAATCATAACGCGGAGATGAATTTTTTGCCGAGAGGGACGTGGAGGGATGGCCGGTGAAACGTAGACTGCAGCCATCCATGGAAGTTCCTGATTAGACTGCCTCACTGGACCTTTTGTGTCCTGTCCTGCTGAGGACAAAGGAGTTGCGGAGAGGGATGGGCGGCAAATAACAGGGAAGATGAGAGGTTGGGGGGGGGGGGGGGGTGAAAAAGGAATATTGTTTGGCTCTGTGCCATTTAAAATAATACCCAGTTTGAATTATCAACTGGTGATGTGTAGTTTAGGCTCTCGTCAGGACCGTACCAACCTCATTAGGTCAGATTTATTCTGATTAGATGATTGCTCGCTCAGTGAGTGTTGGCCTGTTCTCCCCTGAAGTTTGGATAAACTGTATTTTATTCTAATATTTAAAGTTAGACAATAAAAATGGCAGACGTTTAAAGTCATAATGAACCAGGCTGGAAGCAAACAGCGGCTGACTGAAAGGTCCTCTTTCACACTGACACACTTCGCTCACCTTTGACCTTTCTGTGGGCAAAATGCCCTCAGGGGTACATGCACACACACACACACTCACTCACACACACACACTGTGTCCTATCACTGACACTCTTCTGTGACTCTGACAGATTATTCTGTGGAACATACCCCGTAAACTTATTTTAGACTGATGGTTTTACCAAATGTTTGCACGGATCCTGTCTTCAAACTGACACGAAGAAGGAAAAAAGGAGTGAAAGAGTGACAGAAAAGAAAGTGGATCAACTTTGAGTGAAGGAACTATGTGTGTGTGTATTGAATAGACACCTGTGTCTGTGCTCCATAAAGGGAGGCTGGGCCGAAGGGAGAGGTCAGAGGGAAAGGAGGAGGAGGAATTATAGCTGACTGTGCCAACAAACAAAGCCTGCAGGCCTCTTTGTTCTCCCACTCTCTTTGTTTCTTCTTTTTCTTCCCTTTCCACTTTGACCCAATCTTTCTCTCTCTCTCTTTTTTACGGGGACTCTCTGTACTCTCTTTCAGCATATCTCCACCTGTCGCCATTCCTCTCACTATCAGCTCTGGGCTCTCATCGAGTCTCCACCTGCCTGCAGGATTCACCTTTCCCTGCCTGTGCCTGGCCGCTCGTTTGTGTCGGAGCTTCTCTCTTTGTGTCACTGGCACACTCCCAGCATGCATAAAAGCAGCCCCCCCCCCCCCCCCCCCCCCCCCCCCCCCCCCCCCCCCCCCCACACACACACACGCTTTTTATTCTCGCAGAACTTTTTTGAGGGGGGAGAAGTGGAGAGGGGCACATTTTAGGCTCTTTGAGGCAACTTTTTATGCTTCTTGTTTCATCTCTTGACCATACACACTGGGGCTTTTTGTACAGTGTTCAGTCTGTTTTTTCTGTCCCGTCGACCACCACTTTGTAACCTGTCGCTCGCCCCCCCCCCCCCCCCCTTCTGTCCATCTGTTGCTGAGCCTCCCTGCAGAACTTGAGAAGGGCTGAGGTCAGGCAATATGCTGCGTGGCAGGTCTGAGGTCTGCGTCTAAACCTGTGCTGCTTGTGTCCCCTCAGGTCGACGATGCCATGCTCATGTTCGACAAGACCACAAACAGACACAGAGGTGAGACACACACTCACCCGTCCCTTCCTCTTCTCCATTTACCACTCTGCTTTCAACCCTTCCTGGGTCGTCTATTGATCCTCTTCCACCCCCCACAAGAGTCTCCTTCCTGTGGGCTGAGCTGGAGGAGACGAACGCGGCTAGTCTAATTAGCCAGTCCGTTAATCGGGATCAGGATAAAGCCTCCTTAAGCACCTCCTCCCCACCCCGGGTTGATCGATTATGACAGCCTACCAGCTTTGCCCCGTCCTTCTGGCCAGGAAGGGAGGGAGGACAGGATGAGTTGCAAAGTAGCAGCATTGAAAGTGGGGGAGGGGGACACATGTGCTAAGCAGCTATTACTGTGCTAATTGCTGCAGACTGCTGGCTCTCCCACAGCCTAACGCTAACCATAAAGCATTTGATTTGTTTTCACACCAACTCACTCTGTGGCCCGTCAGGGTTTGGCTTCGTGACGTTTGAGAACGAGGACGTGGTGGAGAAAGTGTGCGAGATCCACTTCCACGAGATCAACAACAAAATGGTGAGCAGCCGAGCCGGCGCTCCGATGTGGCGAAACGAGCGGCGCTGACTCCTCTCTCCTGCGCTCCCTCCGACAGGTGGAGTGCAAGAAGGCCCAGCCCAAGGAGGTGATGTCCCCCACGGGCTCGGCCAGGGGCCGCTCTCGGGTGATGCCCTATGGGATGGACGCCTTCATGCTAGGCATCGGTATGCTGGGTGAGTCAGTATTGATCAGGACAGGAAGGATGTGCGTGCGCACCTGGACATGACAGGTTCTGCTCCTGCATTAGAAGGCCCTGCTGCCTTAAAGGTCACATGATGCCTCATGGGGAGACAGCTGACCACTGATGGGAGCTGCTGGATACTGCAGCTTGTAATTCCTCATCATGTAGCCCGGATTGAGTCTAAAACAGTGTTTCAAAAAGTCAGTAGGTCACAGTAATCAGTGTATTCTTTTTATGTTAAGTATAAAAGTGTTGATTAACAGTAAAACACACTAATTAATATTATCATTACATTTCAGTTCAATTCAAGGAAACCCATGGAGCTCTTGTGTTGTTCAAGCTAAAGAAAAAAAGGATTTTACATTTCCTACAGTGCTCATCTTCCGTCACCATTTCTTTTTATTTTCTGGAGTTCAGGATAAGATAACTAAAGATGGTATTTTACCGACCTTTTGAGTCAAATGTGTTTTTAACAAGTGTTTACTCAGGTTTAAAAAAACAGCGTGAATGCCCTTGAATTCAGATGTTCTCATCGTTGAAAAACAAAAAAAACTTTTAAAACACTACACTTCCCGCTATGGTTTTTACATTTTTTTATCACAACTTTGAGATCCAGAAGTTGAACTTTCTGTACCAATGCTGCCACCTACTGTCCAGTCTGAGAAATACAATTAGCAAGTAAATCTTTGACAAAATAAAGCTGAGTTCTTGTGTCAGCATGTGGTTTTTATAGTTTAAATCTTTCTCTGATGTTGGCCATCAAACAATCAGCTGGTCAGTCCTGTTCCAGTGGAAAAGCTCCTTGAAAAGTGTAGAGAAGACCTCAGAATCAGTGTTTATCACTGAGTTAAGACATTTGTTGTTATGTAGTTCTCTTATAAATCTTTCTTATTAAACCAAACACCTCCTGAACACATGTCCTTTTTGGTTTTTGGTGAAAACCAGGTGTTTACTTTGATTTTGTCCCCTGCAGGTTATCCAAGCTTCCAGACTGCCACTTACACCAGCCGGAGCTACGCAGGCATCACTCCTGGATACACCTATCAGTTCCCTGGTAAACACAACACACTCACTGCTGTTCATGTCATATTAAATCATCTCTTAGGCAAAATGAAAGTCCTTATCAACAAAAACACATGCTCGGTTCTTGGGGAAGTTGTGATTGAATAAATTTGTTAATTTCCTTTAAAACAACCGAACACAGAGTCTAAAATCCTTATTGTTTCCTAAAATGTAAGGTTGATACATGAAGAGAAACACATCTGAAATGATTTACAGCCAATCCTATAGTTTTAGTGTGATTTTAAACAAATAAAAATATGTGTACATTTATTAAATAATTTCCCTGAGGTAAGCAATAAAAATAAGCCCTAGTCATGAACACTTAATAATCTTAGAGTTTAAAAAGTTACAAATATTGTGATTTCACTGATATAAGTAGTTTTATGACACAGTGACAACAGCTGGAACAGCAGCTCATAATCATTGAACTGAAGTAAAACTTTAACACTGGATAGAGTTTTCCTACAGTTTCCAACACTACTAACATTCTTTCATAACAAGACCAATTTATAAATTATAAATCTATAAGCCGACTCACAATAATATAAAGATAAATAGTAGGGGTGCACAGATTCCAGTTTTCTGGCCGATCACTGATTTTTAAGAAGTTTTACCTGATTTTCAGACCTTTGTGGAGGTAGAGGAGCCGATCTTTTCCACAGATGTTTATCTAAGAATGGGCCGATCTCCCAAAATTAAGGAAATCGGTGCCAATAAATCAGCCGGCCGATTTATCTTGCACCCCTAATAAATATAACTACAAATATAACATTTTGTCTTATAGAAGGAAAACACTAAATGTATGCTGTAGGTCTGTTGTGCGCATTGCACTCATGAGTTTTTAAGTTCAAAATATGGCTAAATGAACAAGACAAACATATGAAGACTATATCATTGTTATTAGGATCCAGCAAACTGTGTCCAGAGTTGATATGTTTGAGTGTTTGTTCAGAAGGTTCTGTTTTATTGACATCCAAAAGGTTTATTGCTTAAAATCAAATTGGTTTTAATTTTAGCTTTTTATAAACAAACATTAAACATATCAGAGTGCTTCAGTTAAATAAAATCATCTTTCTGCTTGTTTTTACATAAAAGCAAATCTTCACTTTCCATATTTAACATCAGTTCATGTCTGATCCTTTTATGTGACTGCTTTCAGTGATTGGTAGAGTCAGGTGAACACATCGTTGTAAAATGAACTCACCCCTGAATGTGTTTTGGTTGTCTCACCTCAGCTTCCAGCTGCTTTACCTGAGCTCACAGTGACGTCACTTTGTCACAAATACAAACACGTCCACAGATGCACCCAGAGTGGAAATGGCTGCTTGTAAATAACAGAGAATGGAATTGCTTAGCTTGTGTGTGTGTGTGTGCATGAGAGAGAGAGAGAGAGAGAGAGAGAGAGAGAGAGAGAGAGAGAGAGAGAGAGAGAGAGAGAGAATGGCTGGTGATATAGTAGAATATGTGATGATCATCTGGGAAATAATCCCAAAATTAGATTTCCACAAAATAAAAATATGACTCTTGCTTTTTTAATATAATTTCTCATCTCAGATGAAGTTATTAGTTTGTACAGATTTGTAACACTTGCTTCATGTTTTGCTGAGAGAGAGCACCTTCCCCTCCTTTAATTTCTGTTTGTATTCCTCAAGTCCTGTTTGTTGAGCTCTTCACCGCTGAGGTGTTTCCCTTTGCCAAAATGTATGCGTGTGTGTGTGTGCATGTGCATGTGTGTGTGTGTCTTGTCCTTGCTGGCTGCAGCCGTGTGTGTCTCAACAGCACTCTGATGTTTCTGTTTTAGAGTTCCACTTAGAGAGGACTCCCCTTCTGACTTCACCCCACCCCCCTGAACTCACAGGTCAGTCAGTCCCTCCTCTGGACTTTACAAGCAGCGTGTCATCAGTCTGCTACACAACGTCACCTGATCACTTCTGGTTTGCATGTTTGTGTTTGTCCTCCTCGGCTTCGGTCTGAAGGCAGGACTGCTGACAGTAATGTGTGTGGGGAGGCTGGAAATAAGAGATGTTTAAGAGATGTTTAATCTGAATCTTTTCCTCTTCGCCTCCGCAGCCATTCCTCTCACCGCCTATGGACCAATGGCAGCTGCGGCAGCGGCGGCGGCAGTCGTCAGAGGTATAAATAGATGAAGTGAAAGGCCTGAAATCAAATTTCATCAGCTTGATGATGTTTTCTTATTGGTTTTAAGCAGAGTGAGGCTGAGAAACACTTTAGAGAAAAGTGTAAAACTGTTTCAGTCGTCTCAGTTCTWTAAATTGTACTGGTGTTGGAGACAATCCTTTAGATCAGAGATTCTTAATCTATGGGGCCGCGAGCCCCACCTTGAGGGCCTCAAAAGAACAACAGTTTTTAACTTGGGGCCACAGAGGGCCGTGGGACCGCATTGATTTTGAATAAGGTGCAATATACTTTCTCACCACCAGTAGCGGTAGTGCACCACTCAGATGTTTAACAACTTTTTTAATATGTAGAAGAAGAAACTTAGAAACCTGCAGAGAATGGAAACTTATTTTAAATTAAAAGTAGAAGCAAAAATGAAGGTAACCCATCAAAAAAGGCCAAAGTTTGTCACTAATATAAAGTACAGCTTCTGGTTCTGTCATGCAGTATTTTAAAAGTTCAAAATATTATCAAATACAGTTGCAGATACTGCTATATTTTAATTTGCACTTTATCAAATTATTTTTTGTAGTTTATTGTTCAATATTTTTAATGTATTTTAAAGAAACTTTAACCTTGTCAAAAAGCTGTTGTTACTGTTATTGTTTGTCACTAATATGAAGAGCAGCTTCTGGTTCTTTTATGCAGTATTTTAAAAGTTCAAAATATCATCAAATACAGTTGCAGATACTGACATATTTTAATTTGCACTTTATCAAATTATTTTTTGTAGTTTCTTTAAATATTTTTAATGTATTTTAAAGAAACTTTAACCTTGTCAAAAAGCTG